TGTGTTTCACCATTTTAGCTATCACTCTGGGCTTTGGAGCCTGTCAAGTTCTCCCTGTGGGTGTTGGTGTTCTGCTGTTTGTGGCTCCCTCTCCTGTGTTTAGATGAGCGAGGGAGGACCCGCGTTGAACACCACTGTCAAGTCTTACTTTCCTGGTTAAAGCTGCCAGCCCAGGAAACGTACTGTTATCCTCTAGCTTTTTGCCTGGAAGCTAGCAGTCTAGGTTGATGAGTTTTGGGTTGTCAGTTGATTGAAAAACTCCCTCTGGTGCTCAGCCAAGGGGCTTTCACGAGGGTGGGGCAGATGCTGGTCCTTAGTGAGCCTCAATTAGCACTTCAATGGCCCACAGGGTGGGGTTGGATCTCCGAGGGAGGGGCTGCTGCCTCTCCCCAGAGCCCTGGGAAGAAGCAATGTGGCCACCGTCCTGAGTGGCTGCACTCAGCCAAAGCTCCGAGAGCCCTCCAAACCCCGAATGTCCCGACACAGCTCCAGTCCAGTCCGCCCTCCCTCTGCCGGAGCCCAAGGTGAGTGGCTGTGGCTGTTTCAGCCTCTGTCCCGGCTGCGCTGTGGGGCCGCCTGGGAGTGTAACCCGCGGGCGCCGCTTACAGCTGAGGCCGCTGCCGAGCTGCCGACCGTGGGCTCCCAGCCCCGTCTCGCGCCTTCGCAAGCCTACCGGGATGGAGTCGGTGTCCCTCGTTGTATGGTCCTCCAAGCTGCTTTTCTGTTGGTTTTTCCCGTCGATTTGTCTGTGTTATAGTTGTAATTCCAGTTTGGTTCTGGGAGACGGTCTGTGTAGCTCCGTTCACTCCGCCGCCATTTTTCGGTTCTCCTTAAAATCTTTTATTATCACTTTGGTTAAACAGGTGACCAATATCTTATTTAATCAAGTGCTCATAACTTTTGACATTTTGACAAACTTCCCCAAATCAAATTCCAAATAAAATCTCATTGACTTTGAACTAACATAGAGATTTCCCAGAGGGCCTCTGCAAAGCAGACTTGAAGAGAGTTTATATGATCATTCACTCTTCTTGCTGCACTGTAACTAATTTGGCCAAATTTAATGAGACTAGACTTATTTTTTGCAAATAAAAATAGTCTTTGATTATATTTGGTAGAAATGGAGGTGCTTGTAGATAAAAATTCTGTTTCAGTGGAAAACTATAATCCACCTTTGTGAATGTTTATTATCTTTGAGCTATTTTCATCTTTTTATAAACTGAATTGTGCCATTTTGTGCATTTTATTAATAATTAATGTTTCCAATTTTTCCAATTTGTTCCCACATCCCTGACTTAGCACACTAAAAACCCAAACTGCCCATTTCCCAAAGCCCTGCATACTAAAGCTGGACAATGATATTAGCTTCATCATAACAGATCACATATATTAGCTTCATCATAACAGATCACATATGGTTACTCTTTGTGCCTACTGCTGTGGGGGCTACGCAGAAAGTTCACTGGAACACCCAATGCTATCACCAGAGATTTTCAAATTGAAATCACAAAATTAATTGGACTATTACTGCCTGTCCTTACCACCTAAAGATGCTTTGAACCCAACACCTAGAAATCTTCATAACTGGCTGTCTTCTGGATTCAAAAACTGAGTTTATAGTTTGTTCTAGCTGTTAGCCTGTTTTTCTTTTATTTTCATAGAAATGGACCTTGTTGAATGTCTGTTTACTAGCCCCACACAGAGGCCTAACTCAGGTGGGTGCCTGAGTGCCCTACTCCCACCCATATCATCACCTCCTGAAATGAGGCACTACTATTTAGGACTGACCTATTCCCAAGACTGAGAGACTGGTTCAATGAAACATGGGATGATTTACCGACTAAGTTTCTGGACAGTCAAACTTTTTGGGGAAAGTGTCAGATAAAGCAATGATGAGGTTCAAGACATGCTACCCTGTACGGCCGGTGTGGCCCAGTGGTTGAGCATCAACCCATGCACCAAGAGGTCGCTGGTTCTATTCCTGGTCAGGGCACATGCCCAGGTTGTGGGCGAATCCCCAGTGGGGGGCATGCAGGAGGCAGCCAATAGATGTTTTCTCTCATTTATGTCTCTATCTCTCTATCCCTCTCACTTCCTTTCTCTATAAAATCAATAAAGGGAAAAAAAAACTGGGAAAAAAAAAAAACAAACTACATGCTACCCTAAAATAGGGCACCTTGGTGTACTGAATATTTTAAGCTGGAAGAATTTGAGAAATAGCAGATGCAGGAAGGACTTTCTGACTCCCCTACTTTCTTGAAGCAGGTCATAAGACCCTCCTGTGAGAGATGCCCTCCCATTACTCATAAGAGAGTAGCATCCTTATCTCCAAAGACAGAGGGATGCCAAGAGGAGTCTGAACAAACAGGCTTTGCTAAATTTCCCCTAGTGTACTTTCTTAGCTCATACCTCTTTGTCCTATTACATTTCTCACCCCTCCCCACTCTACACAATTTGTATGTTTTTCTATTGTTAATCTATTTGGTTAAAGATTTTTTCCTCCTTGAAGACTTCCTGTCAAGATGGCGGCGTAGGTTAACGCGGTATCGCGTCCTCCCACAACCACATCAAAGTTACAACTAAACTAAAGAACAACCATCATTCAAAACCGCCTGAAATCAAGCTGAATGGAAGTTGTACAACTACGGAACTAAGGGGAAAAAAAAGCAGCTACATCCAGACCGGTAGGACGGGCAGCGGTGCGAGGCGGGGCGGCGGCAGCGCAGTGGTGGCGGCGGCAGAGCGCGCAGCAGCGAGACGGGCTGGTCCCACACCCAAGCGTGGTGGATAAAAATCAGGAGGATCCCGTGGCTGGGAAGGTCCTTCCTGAGGACTGAGGGGTCCCCGTCCCACACCAGGTGTCCCGTTCAGGGTTCCAGTGCCAGGAAGAGAAGTCCCCATAACTTCTGGCTGGAAAAACCAGCGGAAACTGAGGCTCAGGGAGGCAGAAGCGGCTGGAACCCCAGGCAGCTCCCTAAAGGGCCCGCGCACGAACTTATCGGACGCTCTCCCTCTGAGCTTGGAGGGGAGGCAGCTCCACGGGGCGCCAGAGACATACAGGGAAGAACTGAGCTGTTTGGCACTGGAGCGAGGGCTGGAGAGGGGGCTTCCTCGGGGACAAACGTGCTGTCAGAGGCCTTTGTTCCTTTGGTGAGCCCTTCCCAGGGGCGGCAGACAGAAGCCATATCTGGGACTCCAGCAACCTGGCTCACACAGGTAGCCCCGCCCTGCTGACTCCCTGAGGCCCCGCCCCGCCCCACACAACTTTCAAGCTGTTGCCACTTGCTTAACCATAGGATTGGCCGGTCTTGGATCCTGCTTCAGGTTTTTTCTAAATTCTTTCAAACGAGCAGCACCGGGTCTCAGCGAGCCCCATACCTCTCATTAAGTAATACACAGAAACAAACACAGGGAGGCAGCCAAAATGAGGATACAAAGAAACAGGTCCCAAATGAAAGAACAGAACAAAACCCCAATAAAAGAACTAAGCGAAAGGGAGATAAGCAACCTAACAGATACTGAGTTCAAAATACTGCTTATAAGGATGCTCAATGAACTTAGTGAGAACCTCAGTGAACTTAGGGAGGGCCTCAAGAGCATAAAAAGTACCAGTTAGAAATCATGGATACACAGTTAGAATTAAAGGAGGCATTAACTGAAATAAAGAATAATTTACACAGCTTCAATAATAGAGTATGTAGATCCAAGGAGCAAACCATCGATTTGGAATATAAGGAAGCAAAAAATCCCCAATCAGAACAGCAAAAAGAAAAAAGAATCCAAAAAAATGAGGATAGAGTAAGGAGCCTCTGGGATAACTTCAAGCGTGCCAACATTCGCATCTTGGGGGTGCCCGAAGGAGAAGAGAGAGAACAAGAAATCGAAAACCTGTTTGAAACAATAATGGCAGAAAACTTTCCTAACTTGGTGAAGGAAACAGACATACAAGTCCAGGAAGCACAGAGAGTCCCAAACAAGATGAACCCCAAGAGGCCCACACCAAGACACATCATCATCAAAATGCAAAAGGTTCAAGACAAAGAGAGAATCTTAAAAGCAGCAAGAGAAAGGCAGCTAGTTACCTACAAGGGAGTATCCATTAGGCTGTCAGCTGATTTCTCAAAAGAAACTTTGCAGGCCAGAAGGGAGTGGCAAGAAATATTCAGAGTGATGAAAACCAAGAACCTACAACCAAAATTACTCTATCCTGCAAAGCTGTCATTTAGAATCGATGGACATACAAAAACTTTCCCAGACAAGAAAAAGTTAAAGGAGTTCATCACCACCAAACCGTTACTATATGAAATGATGAAGGGTCTTTTTGAAGAAAAAGATAAAATGTATGAACAAACAAAATGGCAATGAATACATATCTATCAACAATGGAATCTACAAACAAAATGAACAGGAAGAACAGAAACATTCTCATAGATACAGAGAACATTTTGTTGGTTGCCAGTTGGGAAGGGGGTTGGGGGAATGGGTGAAAAAGGTGAAGGGATTAAGAAGCACAAATTCATTGCTAGACTGACAAACCTCAAAGGGAAAGGGGTTGGGGGGTGGGTGGGAAGAAATAAACCAAAGAACTTATATGCATAACCAATGGACACAGACAATAATGTGGGAAAAGGTGGGAGGGGGGTGGGAGTGGGGAGGAGGGGGTCAATGGGGGAAAAATGTGGAACATCTGTAATACATTTTACATCTAACAATAAAGATTTGGGGGGAAAAAAAAAAGATTTTTTCCTCCTTTACATAACAGAATGTGTTTTAAAGGACAAAAATATTTGAAATACTAACATTTTGCCAAATTCCACAAATAAGATATTCTTCTAAACCAGATTTCTCACCAAAGAAAGCCTACTAATACACATAGACCAGAAAGGATTATGCATCTCAAAACTGCTGTCTCAACAATGATAGGATATTCACAATAAATCTTAAACAAAGTAAAGGCGGGAATGCCAGCAACCCTAGACTTATGTGAAAATGAATGATCTTTGTTGTATGAAAAAAGAGAAGGTTAGCATTCCCCTTGACAGTGATGGAAGAGGCTCTTGAGCCTAACAACACACATACAGTTAAGGCACTACCACCTACTTAGTGACATCTAACCATTGTTTTTGGAAGAAATCAAAAGTTACCTGGAGACAAATTAAAATGAACACACAACCACCTAGAATCTATGGGACACAGTGAAAGCAGTCCTGAAAGGGAAGTTCACAGCATTACAGGCCTACCTCAAGAAACAAGAAGAATCTCAAATAAACAGTCTAGTCTGGCCAGTGTGGCTCAGTAGATTGAGCATTGTCCCATGGACTGAGAGGTCCCAGTTTGACTCCCAGTCAGGGAACATGCTGAGGTTGCAGGCTCGGTCCCCAGTAGGGGGCAAGAAGGAGTCAGCTGATCAATGTTTCTCTCTCACATCAATGTTTCTCTCTCTCTTCCTTCTCTCTGTGAAAAATCAATTAAAAAATATTTTCAAAAATCATCTATCCAACACCTAAAATAAATAGAGAAAGAATAACAAACAAAACCCAAAGTAAGTAGAAGGAAGGAAATAATAAAGATCAGAATAGAAATAAATGGCAAGGAGACTGAAAAAAAAAAAAAATATATATATATAAAAGGTCAATGAAACTAAGAACTGGTTCTGTGAAAAAATAAACAAGATTGATAAACCTTTAACTAGACTCATCGAAAAACAAAGAAAGAGGACCCATATAAATAAAATCAGAAATGAAAGAGGAGAAGTAACAACAACTAACACCATAGAAATACAAAGGACTGTAAGAAAATACTATGAACAGCTATATGCCAACAAATTGGACAACATGGGTGAAATGGATAAATTCCTATAAATATACAGTCTTCCAAAACTGAATTAGGAAGAATCATAAAACCCAAATAGACCAATAACAGCTCATGAAATTGAAGCAGTAATAAAAACAAAAAACAAAAAAATAACTCCCACCAAACAATAGTCCTGGACTGATGATTTCACAGGCAAATTTTACCAAGCATCCAAAGAAGAACTAACACCTATCCTCCTCAAATTATTCCAGAAAATTGAAGAGGAGGGAAGACTTCCAAGCTCTTTTTATGAGACCAGTATTATCTTAATTCCAAAACCAGATAAAGACACTACAATGAAAGAAAATACAGGTCAATATCCCTAATGAAAATATTAGCATATTGGATCCAGACGTACAATAAAAAGATCATACACCAAAATAAATACCAAGTGGTATTTATTCTGGGGATGCAAGGTTGGTACAAGATTTTCAAATCAGTAAATGTGAAACGTCACATAAACAAAATGGAAGATTAAAATTGCATGATCATATCAATGGATGCAGAAAAATTATTTGATAAAATCCAGCACCCATTTATGATAAAAAAAAAAACTCTCAGCAAAGTGGGAATAGAGAGATCATACCACAACATAATAAAAACCATATTTGAAAAACCTACAGCCAACATCATACTCAATGGGTAAAACCTAAAAGTGTTTCCCTTAAGATCAGAGTGTCTGCTTTTACCACTTTTATTCAACATAGTACTTAAAGTCCTAGTTGCAGCAATTAGACAAGAAGAAGAAATAAAAAGTATCCATATTGGAAAAGAGGAAGTAAAACTGTCATTATTCACAGATGACATGATATTATACATAGAAAACCCTAAAGTCTCCACCAAAAAACTATTAAATCTAATAAATGAATTTTGCAAAGTATCAGGATACAAAATTAATATCCAGAAATCAGTGGCATTTTATACACCAATAATGAACTATCAGAAAGAGAAACTAAGAAAGCAATCCCATGTACTATTGTAACAAAACAAAAAAATAAGGTACCTAGGAATAAATTTAACCAAGGAGGTAAAAGACTTATACTAAAAAAACTATGGGACATTGAAGAAAGAAACTGAGGAAGATTCAAACAAGTGAAAGCATATACCATGGACAGGAAGAATTAACATCATTAAAACGTTCATATAACCCAAAGCAGTCTACAGATTCAACACATTTCCTATTGAAATATCAAAAGTATATTTCACAGATCTAGCACAAATACTCCAAAAACGTATATGGAACCAAAAAAAGACATGAATAGCCTCAGCAATCTTGAGAAAGAAGAATAAAGTTGGAGGTATCAAAATACTGGATATCAGACTATACTACAAGGCCATTATAGTCAAAACAGCCTGGTACTGGCATAAGAACAGGCATACAGATGAATGGAACAGAACAGACCCGAGAAATCAACCTATGCCTTTACGGTCAATTAATATGTGACGAAAGAGGCAAGAGTATACCATAGAGTAAAGATAGTCTCTTCAATAAATGGTGTTGGGAAAATTGGACAGGTACATGCAAAAAAAGAAAAGAAAAGAAACTAGACCACCAACTTATACCATACATAAGAATAAACTCAAAATGTATAAAAGACTTAAGTATAAGTTGTGAAACCACAAACATCCTAGATGAAAACATAGGCAGTAAAATCCCAGACATCTCTTGTAGCAATATTTTTGCTGAATTTCCTGGAGCAAGGGAAACAAAGGAAAAAAATAAACAAATGGGACTACATCAAACTAAAAAGCTTCTGCAAAGCAAAAAACCATCAACAAAATGAAAAGGGAATCCACTGAATGGCAGAACATATTTGCCAATGATGTATCTAATAAGGTGTTAATTTCCAAAATATATGAAGAACTTATACAACTCAACACCAAGATAAACAATCCAATTAAAAAATGGGCACAGGACCTGAATAGGCACTTCTCCGAAGAGGACATACAGATGGCCAATAGATATAAGAAAAAATGCTCAATGTCACTAATCAGAAAGATGCAAATTAAAACTACAGTGAGGTATTAGCTTACACCTGCCAGAATGGCTACCATCAATAAATCAACAAACAACAAGTGCTGGTGAGCACGTGGAGAAAAGGGAACCCTAATGCACTACTGGTGGAAATGCAGACCGGTGCAGCCATTGTGGAAAGCAGTATGGAGTTTGTTTCCTCAAAAAATTAAAAATGGTACTGCCTTTTGACCTATTGACCCCACTTCTGGGTATATGTCCTAATAATCCTGAAACACCATTCAGAAAGAATATACACACCCCTGTGTTCATATTTACAAGAGATGTAAAATATTTCTACAAGAGTTGTCTGAGATTTTCTTGCCTATGTCTTCTTCTAGGATTTTTATGGTTTCGCAACTGACACTTAAGTCTTTTATACATTTTGAGCTTATTCTTATTTATGGTGCAAATTGGTGGTCTAGTTACTTTTTCTTTTTTTTGCATGTACCTTTCCAATTTTCCCAACATTGTATATTTACGATAGCCAAGATATGGAAACAGCCTAAATGCACATCAGTGAATGAGTGGATAAAAAAGCTGTGGTACATTTACACAATAGAATATTACACAGTTATAAAAAAGAAGGAACTCTTACCCTTTGCAACAGTGTGGATGTACCTGGACATTATTATGTTAAATGATATAAGCCAGTCAGAGAAAGACAAATACCATATGATCTCACTTACATGTGGAATCAAATGAACAAAATAAACCGATGAACAAAATAGAACCAGAGGCATGGGTTCGTGGAACAGATAAACAGGAGAGAGGTGGGGGTACCAGATGAAAAAGGGTGAAGAGACTAGCCAAAGAACATATATGCATAACCCATGGACACAGACAACAATGTGATGAAGTCCAGAGGGAGGTGGGTGGGGACTGGGTGGAAGTGGGCAAAGGGAGAGGGAAACTGGGGACATCTGTAATAGTGTCAACAGCAAACAAAAACAAAGAAAAGAAAATAGTGCCACTATTTACTATTAATGACCAAGGCATCACATATAACTCACCAGGAAAAAACCCTTTACAGCTATAGTTTCATATCCTAAATGGAGTCCGTACATTAATAGTTAAACAAGTTGGCTTTAGGATATGAAAATTATAAGGGAGAATAAATATTTAAGCTGATGATACAATTTAATTTATTTTCTCTATGACTTATTTAACTAAGAACAGTCAGTGAGAATATGACTTAGAGTCAAATGTTTCCTTTGAGCCTCGCTGAGGCAAAATTTATGTTTCTCAAATGTCTACATTTGGAAGACATGATGCAGGAATAGAAACGCCTGTGAAACGCCACTGATTGACTTGCAAATTTTGCAGAATAAGATCCAGTTTTACGTAGCCTTTTTTTGTTCCTCCAGTAGCTGTCAGGGAGGGAAATGTAGTTAATGCCAATAAAGAGAGCAGACAGTTCTCTGTTCCAACAAGAACAGTGTGGGCAATTAAATTTTTCGCAGCAATCTTGAATGACGGCAGGCTCATTTCACCGAAATTTCATCAACATGTAAATCCAATCAACAATCCAACATCGTGTTTCTTGCAAGGTTTCTGAAACCATAACTGCATTGTGTGTACAAGCACACATGAAGGTGTGGGCTGTCATTAGTGCGGCCTGTCTTCCACTACAGCCCTGCTTGATAACGAATGTGAAGTCTAAGGACTTGAGCATGGCTGAATTTTACTGAGAAGCCCAGCTGCCCTTCTCTGGTATGGCTAAGCTAAGCTTGTGTGGTCTAGAAAGGCCACACTGCCCATTTGTGTGTCACATTTTCAGTCCCTTGGCAATTAGGCTGAGAATATTTTGTGATTCTGCCTCCATCAAGTTTTTTGGTTTAATATTGTCATCTGTATTTCAAGGGCCACCTTTTGATTTATTTAGTGTTTTAAATCCTCACCCAAGGCCCTAGCCAGATTGGCTCAGTGGTTAAGAGTGTTGGCCCATAGACCAAAGAGTCATGAGTTCGATTTCAGTCAAGGGCACATACCTTGGTTGTGGTTTGGTCCCTGGCCCTGGTTGGGGTCATGCGGGAGGCAACCAGTCGATGTGTCTCTCCCACATCGATGTTTCTCTCTCTCTCTCTCTCCCTCCCTCCCACTCTATCTGAAGATAAATGGAAAAAAATAAAATAAAATGAAGTCCTCACCCGAGGATGCCCAATTCACTGAGCCACACCAGCCTGGTGAGCTTCGATTTTTGTCATCTGTGTCTTAGAAACCCAGGCAATGGCTTGATGGGTTTGCTTATGGAAACTG